ATGAAGAACCAGAAGATCGATATAGACGTTAAGGCAAAATTAACTAAGTCTGGAGAACAACCATAGGGCCGATGAATCGACCAGAGATGTGATGGAAAGAGCATCTTCATCACCCCTCTGGTCAACAACACTTAGAGTTTTCTTCAGCAGTTCAACTAGAGGCATATGATGAAGATATGAAAATAAGGTTGAAATAACATCCTATGGAAGACAGCTGGAGATAACAAATCGACAGTTGGATTTCAAGTTTATCTTGATTTATAGTTATCCATACTTTAGATAAACTTTATCTGTTAGTAGAAGATTAGCTAAATAGTCTCACTAAATAGTTATCTTCTAATTAGCCTACTAGTATAAATAGGTGATTAGGCCTATTGTAATTAACGCCGCTTTTATGTTTTCATTTAATATTGAATAAAGTGAAATTATTGGCACTCAAGATTGTTCTTTGAATGTTCATACATTGTTCTTGAGTGTTCATCATTTTGTTCATTAAATCACTATAACTTGGTTATTCTTAACTTGATTATTAGTGTTATTGAGAGATCTGGGATCAACACTATACATTTCCTCTGGAGAACACTTTGCTATGTTTAGAGACAGAGGCTCTGTATAGTACATACAGAGCCTCTGTTCTATAATCATGAGTTTTAATGCAGAGCTTCTGTATAGTACATACAGAGGCTCTGTTCTGAGATGGTGCTGTGCTCCCCTTGAGTTTAGCCTTTCTTATCTGCTCCCCTTTGAACTATGCTTGGATCATTTGTGATAAGTAGAGTACATGCATAATGATCAAGGTACTCTGTATTGCAAAAGAACTAGACGAGTAAGAGACTCTGCATGAACTATGCAGAGGCTCTGTCTCATGGATTAATATAAAAAAAAGTATGCATCAAGGGATGCAGAGGCTCTGTATTGTGCATACAGAGGCTCTGGTTTAGCTTGAGAGATTTAGCATACCTAACTTGCTAACTAGAAAATTGAATCTCTTTTCATCAAGAGGTTTTGTAAAGATGTCAGCAAGTTGTAAATCTATGTTTACAAAGAACATTTCAATCATACCTTTCTCTACATGGTCCTTGATGAAATGATATCGAACATCGATGTGCTTTGTTTTTTAGTGTTGCACAGGGTTGGCTGTGATTGCAATAGCACTTTCTGAGTCACAAAGAATTGGGATCTTCTCAAACTCCACGCCATAGTCTTTCAGTTGTATTTTCATCCATAACACTTGGGAACAACAGCTTGCTGCAGCGACATACTTTACTTCAACGGTGGAAGTAGAAACGCAGTTCT